AAATCTCGATACAGCACAAACATTTATTTATTTTTTATTTTCGTTTCTCTTTTCATTTACAAAAAAAAGTAAATATGTTTCTTTAAATCATAATAACTAAAATTATAGCAAAAAAAAGTAACTATAAATTAACAGAGCACCAAAATTAAAATATGCAGGGATGGTAATTCGATTGAAAATTAATACTGAAAATGGATTCCAGAAACCAGATTGCATTTCTCTGTAAATTTCACAGAGTTCAACCAAAAATCAGTAAATAGAAAATCTTATCACAATTTATTGAAGTAAATTTCTAGTGCTACGAAAACGATCTGTAAGAAAAACAGAGAGAAACTGTCATGCTGGCCGGAGTTTTTTTTCTCCGGCGAAGTCCAAAGAGTTCGTGAAGTTTTCGCGACAGAGTAAGAAAAACAGAGAGACACTGACAAGTCGAGGCCAGAGATCATATTTCTCCGGCGAAAAGTAAAATTTCCGATCGAACACTAAAATACGTACTCAATCGATATTCCGAGTCAAGAAAAATGAAGATCGATGAACAGATTTCGATGAATTTCGCATTCAGGATGAGAAAGAAGGAAAAGAAAACGCAAGCAACGATGGAAGAGAGAGGAAATTAATGGCAGAGTAATGGAAGAAGAAGGAATGAGGAGTTCACCTGAGAGAGCTCGAGTGAGAACTTCCATGGCAGAATCCGCCATTTCTCAATTGCTTATTTGATCACGGAGAAGAAGAAGACGAAGAAGACGAAGAAGAAGAGGGAAAAGCAGTGTACCATCCCCTCATCTAATTCCTCCCGCGTTATAAAACAAACTCGAGATGCCCATTTTCGTCATTTCACTCTTCTTTTTCCTAACAAATTAATATTTTCGTTTTTAAAAATTAAAACCACTTTGTTAATGAAATGCCACTTTTCTATTTTTATTTAATTATTTTTAAATATATTAATAAAAATACAAACTATATATATTTTTTAATTAGTGAGTGAAAACCGAATAATTGAGAGTAATTAAAAATCACTTTTAAAATTAAATGGATTTATTTGTATTTTTTAAAAATGGAATATCCCTTTACTAATTATAAAATAAATTTCATTTTTTTAATAAAACTTTTAATTTCATGTGATTTATTTATGATATGTGAAAAATTAAGTTTTTATTTATTTATTTATTTCTTAATTAATATTTATTTAAGTTTGTAAAAATTATGCCACGTTACTTTGTAATTTATTAAAGTATTAATTGGAAACAAAAGAGAGAGGGAGAGGGAAAATTGTTATTAATGAGTAATAAATGATATTAAGTTTATTTTTTTTTTAAAGTCAGTTAAAAATAAATAAATAATTTAAAATAACGCTTTTAAACTATAATAATACAGAAATGACGTGTCTGCTTTTGTTTGCTTTCCTCTATTAGCTGTTCGGCCCTCATGTTTTCGTATTTTGCTATTCGTACCCAAATGTTTGTTTAATTTCCAAATCTCCGCTTACAGATTACTTTCTCTTAATTACAGACCCATACTCTACTGAAATTGCATTTCTACCCCAAAAAAATCGGTGGGACCCACGTATTATATATTTTTTGAAATAATAATTTGATGCATAGCAATTATTGTAAGAATTAGGTAGACTTTTGACTTTCTAAAATTGACTATTTACTCATTCTATATTATATGATTTGATTTAAACTAAAATGGTAAATTAATTTTGTTATTGAATGTAACAAGAATGTATACAGGTTCGGTGGGAGAAATCTTTTGGGCCAATCAAAAATTTCGAATTGTTGGTAACTCCGAACCAACTAAATACAGTTTATAACATTACTTTTCTATTTTCATATTGAGTTGAGTTGTCGGGTTGTTTTTTTTTTAATTAAGTAAAAGAATTATACTTATCCACAATACATATTACTAAAATTTCATAAAACTCAAATATCAAACATTCGCAAGTCACAATGCATTCCAAACATTGGGAAGAAACGTCAAATATTTAATTTTTATAATAATCTTAAAATAAGAATTGGTTGGATTGACCTGACTAAAAAATATGTCAACATGCGAACTGACCCGAATTTCTCAGTTTTTCAAATATTCACCAACCCAAATTAAATTTTTTTTTAACCCAACCCGACAATAATGGTTTGGGTTGAGCAATTTAGGTGGGTCGAGTTATTGAATTATCAAATTATACAAATATGTTTTAAATTTAATATTATATTTCACATTTTTTAATTATAAATAAATAAATTTATCACAAATTTTATTTTTATAACAAAAATATACGATTTAAAAGTTCAAATTCAAAATAAATTTGCGATTACAAAAGGTAAAAACAAGTTTTAAAGTTACATTTAAAATATAAAACAAGATCCATCAAAATTTTAATAAAATCTCCATAAATTAGTTTTAAATTTTATAATTGTCAACTTATTTTTGTTTTTTAATTAAATTTTATTTATTTAATTGTCAAATAACTTGTATGTTAAATTTTCTAAGATTCTTACTAAGATTATGTTTAAATACGACCGCGCAAATGAAGGAGCTAAACACGAGCTAATTTAAAATTAATAAATTTAACATTTTTTAATCCATCAATATTACTTTGGATAAAATCCATCAATTATTTAAAATATATTGTCTAAAATAAATACCATAAATTAAAAAAAAAATCACGGGAAGCATGCTTGCGATTTTTTATTAATTACCCATTATTTATTTTATTAACCGAAATCAAATTCTTCCCCTATAAGATTTTTTAATTAAAAAATATATTATAAAATAAAATATACACGTGTAATTTAAACCTTTAACTAAACTTATTATTAATTTTATTGCCGTCTTTATTTATTCCACGTGGTTTTAGTTTAGCTTCGAATAAAAAATAATTTAATGTTATCCTTTATATATATATTTATATATATATCGAAGAAAAAAATACAATGGCTAAGGGCAAATTTAACTATGGGTTATATATATATATATATATATATATATGTTTTTTTTGTATTTTTTTTTTGTGGATTATTATTCTAACTTTTCAATAAGTTCACTTAGATATACGATTAATATTTATATTTATATAAAAAAACGAGGAGAAATAGACTGAGGAGGTTCGAGGGCAAGGAGAGGAATATAATTCTTATCTTCTGTCCCGTTTAGCTAACTAGGAGAAATCTCTCTTAATTCTCTTCCTTATTTTTATATCGGTTTGAAGCGAGCTCCACATATTTTATTTCATTGTTGTATCTAACTTTCACACGTCTCGTTTTCACATTATTTCATACAATTTACGTGCCTTAAAAACAATAATACATGTTTTTTTTACATGAGGACAATAATTGATGGGCTGGCAGGTCAGTGATGATGTTGAAGAAAGGACCAAGGCCATGAGGCTTATCCCTTCAAATTTGTCCCTTAAATTTGTTGTTTTTCACGTGGGATTATATTATATGGCTCCCATGTCTGGATTCTCGATTCATGAGTAAAATTTGGATAATTGACGAAAATGAAATCAAATCTTGCACAACACTCCATTTTTAAAAAGTCGAACATGTGTAATGTACGAGAAATAGAAAAAAAAAAGGCGGGAACGAAATATGACAAAGAGAAAGAAGAAAACTCAATTTATTGATAAATTAAAAGGCAACATTAATTATTGAACACCGTCTTGAAAGCATATTATTAATTTTTTTATATAGTAATTGATTTGTAATTCATTGAAAGTTATTTTTTTTGGTAAGGGGTAAAATAGCTTGTTTGTCTTTGTTATTTCTTCGTTGTATCATATACGTTAAGATCGTTCAGATGAAAAACTTAATTATGTACAGAGTTTCGCACTGAAAAAGACTCGTTGTTGTAATAAAAGTCATATTTCCACTCGAGTTATTTCTTACCAAAGAGAAGCGAGAAACATTAAGTTTTTCAACCATATCATGCGTATAAATATTTTTAACCCTAAGTAAAAGGTAAAGTTTGAGGTAAAAATTAAATTTCCAACATTTAATATGATAAAAATTTAAAGAAAAAAAAATTAGTTAGATTAAATTTAAAAATGCAATTAAAATACATAATAAAAATGTTATTTCAATATGAATATTTAAGTAATTGTGGGATAATAATAATAATTATTTTAAATAAAAAAAAGTATGTTTGTTTTATTTTTTTTAAATTAATTAAAAAAAGGACAATAAAAGTCAGAAATCATGAAAAGATGTTCGGTAGATGTTGAAGACAAATATCCAACAAGAAAAAAATAAATTTCATCAAAATTAACGACCACAAAAATAATAAAAATATAAATAAACATAAAAAAGGGCCAAAAATTATTTAAATTTCATCAATAATTATTATTTATACTGAAATTCAAATAATAATAATAATAATAATAATGAAATGTGGATAAGCATCCAAACCCTACTGAATAATGCACAATTTCTATATTTTTCTTCGAATTAAAATTATCCGATAATATACAAAATTATATATAAACTCTTTGTAATATGTTTATATATATATATATTTATTAAAATATTATTTGATTGTTTTATTTGTTAAAATATTAAAAATGCAAAACATTTTTAATAAGGAAAAAAAAAGCTTTTAATTATCCCATCAATTTATTGCAGCTGGCTCCACCGGTAGCCGTTAATGATAACGTGTAAATAGTAAATACAAGCTCTTTGTCGTTGATTTTTGTCGTTAGGACTCGAACTTAACGGCTCGAGGAAAACGTGGCCATCCCATCCGTTACTTTTTGCAATTCAGGACATAATTCATCAGAAACTAAATTTGTACCCAGCGTAATATTCCATAAAACAGGGCAGCTTCGTGTAATTTCCGAGATATTGAGGGACCAAATAGCAAAAAGAGTCTATGTAAGGGCTTCTTTGCAAATATTGAGCAGAAGATGGGGTTGAAATCAGAAGGACATGAAGGGTATTTTCGTCAAATGAGTTGAGGGAAAACAAAATCTGCTATATTGCGTTGTATTGTAGCGAAGTTTGAGGGAGGGAAAAACAAACGGAAAACAGAGAGAAATTCATTTCTTCGTATTATCAATTACATTTCAGAGCTCTGAAAATGAGCAGTTTCTCGTTCAAGAGCTTCTCGTGGAGGAAATCGAAGTCGGATTCCGGCAATTCCTTTTCGCCGGAGGAGGAGAGGTTTCTGACGGAAAATATGGGAACTCTGAGAGTGCCGGAGATCGTTCCTTCTCCTGCTGAGGACTGTGATAGGCTCAAGAAAGCTTTTGATGGTTTGCTTTCGATGAACTCTTTAACATTTTCATTTTATTTATCTTTCGCTTTCGATTTTCATGTTCTTCTCGATATTTCATTAACTTATCTGTGGATTCTGTATGTTTTTGTTTCTCTATTTGATTTTTCTGCTTAAAGTTCTACGTAATGCGTGGATTTTGTTTGAATTGAAGTCGTCTTTAATCTTCTGATAGTTTGAGCTTTATCGTCGTGAGTTGAGTTCTCAATTCTCAGTAAAATGGAGTCCTTATGTCCAGACAATGTTGAACTATTCGGCTGATGGCTTGGCTGCACTCTTCCTCTTCTCATCTTATTCGATTGATTTATTTATTTTTCAGGAGTCGTATGGATCGTTATATTTATTCCTTTTGTTTTCTAAATCTGTTTTATTTATTATTATTTTTTTATAAAATATTTTGAAATTTTGGGCTAATTTAAAAAATGAAAGTATTTTTTAAAATTAACAACAAATTTGAGTTGGTTTGAACTCCCAACAACTCAACTAAAAAATTATACTTGGGATGAGTTGGGTTCATTATTATTTAACCGTTTGAGTTGAAATTTTTTTAGATTAAAACCGTTGGGTTGGGTTTAAAAAATATTCCAACTCGACCTAATTCAGCCCTCGAATACTCTATTTTTGAAAGCTATCTTACTCTCTTAACATATCAACCCGATCTAATTCGACCAGGAATACTCATTTTTTTTTTAAAGCTATCTTACTCGCCTAACACACACACACATATATATTTAAAATTTTTGAAATGAAATAAAATTAAAAAATAAAATAAAATTTGATTGATTAGAAAGAGAGTTAACAAATTAATAGTAAACGAGTTTAGTTTAATTGACATGTAAAAATCTCTCTAATCTAGTAGTTCTTCATTTTTAACGTTCGAGCTGCTGTTGTTAGAGTTGTAAGCAATCAAGTTCCTTCATAGTTTGCTTCCTGATGGTATAGAGCCCTTTGTTTCCACGTTTTCTGCCATATATTTCTTTTTTATGCAGCAGAATGAGAATTTAATGAGTTTAGTTTTTCTTCTGCAGTTAATTTTCTTTCTGGGATTTTGATTTACTTTTCACCAAGTCATTGATCACCAATCTTCTTGATATATGATTGGTGTTTGTGTTGTCTATTTCTAATACTATTTCCCATAATGTGTTAGGATGGGGAACGGATGAGAAGGCATTGATAAGGATATTAGGACAAAGAAATGCGGCACAAAGGAAGGCTATTAGAGAGACATATGTCGAGCTATACAATGAGGGACTCATTGATCGCATCAATAATGAACTCTCTGGTGATTTTAGAGTATGTTTATTACTCGTAGCTCTTTACATTTCCCGATCACACTCCACATTCTTAACCAATCAACCCTTTGTGAGATCCCACATCGGTTAGAGAGGGGGTATGAAACATTTTATTATAAGGGTGTGGAAGCCTCTCTCTAGCAGACTTGTTTTAAAAACCTTGAGGGGAAAGCTCGAAAGGGAAAGAAAGGTTACACCGTTTGTTGTTTTTTTTTTAGATTTCAGTCTTGAAGTTTCATTGGCATTTAGAACAAACAAAATTCTTCCGTTGTTTTGATACTTGTTCTATAAGGGATCAATAGTTTCAATTTTGTAGTGAAATAAGTTGTATTTTGCTTGTTTTTTGTGTTATTTTTTCCCTGCTCTCCTTCTTTTGGATGTGAAAATTTGGATGTTCAAGGAGTTGTTCTTAAAGCTGACATTGAGCAATAACCACTTAATTTCCACTACTATCTTCTTTTCCCTTATCCATCTCTAATTTAAACTTTTTATGAGTAGAAAGCGGCAATTTTGTGGGCATATGATCCTGCAGAAAGGGATGCCAGATTGGCAAATGAAGCCTTGAGGTCATATAAGAAAGGCATCCATGAGCTTCAAGTATTAATCGAGATAGCCTGTGCAACATCTCCTCACCATTTAATGGCAGTAAGGCAGGCCTACTGTTCTCTCTTTGATTGCTCGCTTGAAGAAGACATTTTCTCCACCGTCTCCATGCCTCTTAGAAAGGTACAATTGTAAAAAAAATTTCTCAGTCTCAATTGAATTGATACACGGGCTTGAATTCTTGGGCTGAGTCTAATTTAATGTCTATTCGATGAACATTTTGTTCTTGGTTTCATTATTTACCTTGTAGAAATATATTTCAAATCCTAGTAAAATTTGAAAACTAAAACAGTGATTTTCGAAGATCTATTTTTAGCTCAGAAATTTGTTTAAGCATTTAAAAGACTATAAATGAAATCACCACAAAATGAGACCATAGTTTTTTCTGCATTTATGCTTGGTATGTCCAAACTGATATAGATAAGTTGCTTGAAAGAAAGTGGTCAATTCTTTAGAACATTGTGCTTTGATAGTTGCAGATACATTCCATCTTCATGAATTAGCAAATATCATTACACGAAATGAGTAACGATACCAAAACATTTTTGGTCAGACTTGCAATTTGACTCCATAAAATGTTCGACACTCTTTGAATATCTATGAAAAGCTTGAAAAGATGACTTGTTTATCTGCTTTCCAATTGAATTGTATACTGTTGAGGTTGCAATATTGAAGAACCTTTGGTTTTGGATATTGTAAAGCTTCTAGTTGGTATGGTGAGTTCCTTCAGGCATGATAAAGAGGTGGTGGACGGTATTGTTGCTGATTCAGAAGCCGATTTATTACACGATGCTATCAAAGCAAAGCAAATAAACCACAGCGGTGTCATTTGGATACTCAGCACAAGAAATTTCTTTCAGCTTAGAGCAACCTTTGCATGCTATAAGCAAAAGTATGGAAAACCTATTGACCAGGTTCAGCCTTTAATAACAAATTGTTTGTAAATTCTTTTCTTTCTTTTTGTCTTTTCATATTCTCTCTTGGAAGTTCAGTTTTGCATTTCATTTACAGGACATTGTGAAATGTGGAAATAGTGATTTAGAATCTCTCTTCAAAATTGCAATTTTGTGCATTGACACTCCTGAAAAACACTTTGCAAAGGTGAGATGCTCTTTCCTTCAAGGAAAAACAAAATAGTTCTTCAACTCTGCATCTTCTTTCTTTATTAGATTGAAATACTTCCAATCATATTTTGGCTCCTCTGATTGTTTCATCCAAGAGCTCTATATATTTTGATAACAACACATAAGGTGTAACAGCCCAAGCCCACCTAGCAGATATTGTCCGCTTTGGGCTTTCCCCTTCGGGCTTTCCCTCAAGGCTTTAAAACGCGTCTGCTAGGGAGAAGTTTCCACACTCTTATAAAGGGTGTTTCGTTCTCCTCCCCAACCGACGTGGTACATCACATAAAGTCATTCAAAGATCATTGATGAACTCAACTCGGAAAGAATATTTGGTTGAATTCTAAACAGGAGACTAATTTCTGCACCTACTTCTATCACCTTACATGCATGAAAAGTTTCCGTTGGGGAATTTTGCTGCAGGTAATCAACAAGGCCATTGTTGGGCTTGGAACAGATGAAGATTCTCTAACCAGAGCCATTGTAAGTCGAGCTGAGATAGACACAATGAAAATTAGAGAAGAGTATGCCAACATGTTCAAAAGCAAGCTCGACGACGATGTCATTGGCGACACATCTGGAGACTACAAGGACATTTTGATGATCTTGCTTGGAGCTAAAGTTTGATTCTTTCCAACTTCTCTTTGCTTCTTGCCTTCATCTTTCTCACTGCAAATTCCATGTTTGGTTTTGGATATTGATTGTAGGCCTTCGAATAAATAACTTGTTAGCCTTTGTATATATATTTGGAAGATTGATTGTCAGGAAATAAGAAATAATAAAAAGGGAACACTTTGTCTCTTTCTTGCTGCTGTTTTATTCCGTTAATGCCTATTTCAGATATCCCAAAGAAAGAAAGTTATTGAGACTTTCTTGGTATTAGGCCTATAGGAGTTGAAAAAGTGCTCCCATCTGTTCATAGGAAGAAACTTTAGCAATATTTCCAATCACTTACGAAGAAAACCCGACCAAATTGCCTATAAATTGACGAAAAATTAAATAACCAAAGGTCGATAGAATTTAATGCAAGTAGTGCCTTTAGTAAAATCATTCTTGTCATTAAGAACAAGAGAACTAAATTTTCTTATACTTTTTTGTGCAAAACTTTTAATTCTATGTAAACGAGATCCCTCTTTTAGATATAAAATTGAATCTTACGTCTTATAGAACATGAACAGTGAACTTTCGAAGGTTTCCGTTGAAAATTCAAGAACTAGTCTCTGTAGAGAATAGAAGGCAAACAAAATGTTTAGTGGTACAGGTAGTAGTTGGAGATGAAAGCAAATAATAATGAATCTTAAACAAAAAAGGAGGCTGAGACTAGGAAGAGACACTCCCCTTAATTATCAAACAGTTTGAACACCAAGAATTTTAGCAGCATTAACACAGCTTCAAAAGTGGTTGCCACTCAAAAAGGCCTCACTGATGAAGCTATATAATGAGGATTGCCAAAACAAACACATCACAAAGCCTTCTCAACCAAACCACATTTGAAGCAAATTTAGGTCTGCAATGAAAACTGCTTCCATTTTTCTGGGTATTATCCTGTCCTTGCTTCTGTTTGTGAATTTCTGCTTTGCAGAAGAAGAAAATGTTGCTGAACTCCACTCTGCCCAAGGTACTTTACTTACATTTTAAAGCATTTTGAGGCTTATTTTCTTGTTTTGCTCAACCCCTTTTAATGAAAACGGTAGTTCTTTGCACACATTCTGTATTCTTTGTCTAATGTTGTTCAATAAGAGGTCAAGATGGCCGACCCAGAAGTAAACTTGTATTGTATTTTAGTTTAGAGAGGTCGATGAATTACTACGATCTATAGAATCTAGTCGCTTCGGGCTAAAATTCCAATGAAACCAAGTGATAGTAAGGATTGTAATGAAGGGAATTTTATATGCAGGTGCTGCTGGTGTAGCAGCTAAAAATGGAGAGGAAGACCAAGAAGAGAAATTCATGTTTCTTCATCACCACAAGCCATACTTGAAGAAGCCATTTCTAAAGCCAATTCCATATAAACATCCTTTTCTGAAGAAGCCAATCCCAGTTCATCATCCATTTCTCAAGAAGCCAATCCCCATTCATCCATTCCTCAAGAAGCCAGTTCCAAAGCCACTTAACCCACCAGTCTTCGCCACCCATCCTTGAAATATGTTAAAAAAGAAGGCTCAGTTCTATTATTATTACTGTTTGTCTGTTTAATTGTAGAATTGGATGAAGTTATTTCCAATTCAAATAAAGCTCTGTTTCTATTTCTGTTAAAATAACTGTGTTAGTTTCAAATATGAAGCTTCTGTTCGTTTACCAATGGATCAGTTTAAGCACTGCTGAACTCCTCCTGTTGATTTTGATCCAAGAAATCCTTGAGAGAGTAAGAGAAGTGTTGGGTCAGGTCTAAGAGTGTTTGTGAAATCCCGGAAATCCCAATTGGCGAGTTATGTCTTAAACTTAGCTATGTTTGTGGAATCCTCGTTTGTAGAACAATAATCAATGAGCCTAACAAAACATAGTCATCAGTAAAACTTCAAAATATCAAACAAGTGTGGCTCGAAAGAGTTGGCTAGTGCCATGTATTCCACGATGTGATCTAAGGTCGAGGAATTGGCTCGAATAAGAGAGATCGGAGGAAGTTATAGGATTTCATTGTCCCATAATAATGAAAAAAGAGGTCAGTGAAGGATGGTTAGTTAAGTATATAGTTGGTAGCTGGAGATTAGATTGAAGGCTAATGAATTCAAAGCATACAAAGCTGGTTTTGTATGCCGAATCTCATGTATACATATACTCATAAAGGTCGGGAAATACCGAAACAAACGCCTTCTTTTTTCGACAGTGTGAAAGCAACGAACGTCCCGAAAGGGTAAGTAACTGGTCGTTAAAAATATAGGTGGTAGCTACTAATACATATCCTAAGCAGAAAAAGGAGGTGAGATTACCTACTCACTCCCAAACGCCCTTAGCCACCTGAGAGGTCAAAAAACCATGAATTTTAGTTAGCAATCACACAGCTTTAGGCACTATAAAATGGGATGAGTATGGGCAACACTGAGTAACTCATCCTAAAAGCCTTCTTCACCAAAATTCTCTCCTCTTGCAATGAAGACTGTTTCCATGCTCCTCTGCTTCCTTTTGCTTGCCAACCTCTGCTATGCAGCAGAGCAAGAAATGGGTAAGTTGGAGGCCGCCCAAGGTACCTTCACCAACCTTTTAGGCTCATTTTGGGTCATTTTCAGGCTAAAAAATGCTTGTTGTTTTGATCATGTCTGTCTTCATTTTATGCAGGCACCAAAGGAGAAGAAGGGGAAGAGACCGAAGCAGAGAAATTGAAGCTTATTCCACACCACATACCATTCTACAAGAAGCCGCTTTTGAAGGCAGCTCCAAAGAAGCCAATTCCGCATCACCCAATCCTCAAGAAGCCATTTCCAAAGCCTCGTTATCCGCCAGTGTTCCCCACCCATCCTTGAAACAAACTATGCTCATGAGCCCTTATAATGCCATGGAATAATAAGCTTTACTGCATAGTTAAGTTTTAGAAACCATGAGTTTATTTTGGAGTCAGCTTCCTTTGCTACTACTACTCTTCACTGTTCTTGTTCTTGTTGTGTTCAATCAAATAATAAACTATCGCTTTTTGTTTCATCATGTATGCCTTTTCATCTGTTCCCTAACCCTATAAGTTAACATGAAATAGGCTAAATTTCCGATCAACCCAACTCCCAATCACTCCAAAAATTTGGTTGGATTACGAGCTTATTTGGGTTGAGTTTGATTCAAATAAATGAAGATTCTGTGGATTGGGTTGATTCCTGTCCGCTCTCCTAAAACTAGATTGGGCTGAACAGAACCAACTCGAATTTATTGTTAATTTTAAAAGATCTATTGAGTTGTATACATTGACATTGAGTTGTACTTCTAACCCGAACAACTCGAACCAACCCAACACAAAAAATTTATGGTTGGGTTCATTATTTGATAAGGATTTACAAATATCCCGAAAAACGAAAAGAAAATGATGTAAGAGATGGGACACACAAAGCTTATTGGAAAAGAGAAGGAATGCATGACAGCAAGTTTCTGGTAGAACATGAGAATTTCTTCCTTCTGCAGCTATCATCTGCTGAGTTAAAAGGGTATCATCTTCATCATATGCTACACAACATTAATATCCAAACATTACACCTTTAATGGAACAGTTTGAGCCATTTTCGACCACTAATAAGCCCGGTAACGAAAGAGGATTATGCTTAGTGTTAAAAACACAAAACTAAAAACGATATCGTTACGAAGTACTTCTTGGTTCAAGAAGTTCGTAGTAGAATGTTACATAACGAGTATTCGTTCTTTCTTTTCATATATCAACGAAACGTTTGTTTCTTGTTGCTCGTGTTAAACCTTTTCATACATGCTTCATTACGTAAATCGAAACCCCACGATCCAAGTCGTGTCGTAAGGTGTTAAAAAAACACATTTTGTTAGTACAACAAATGTGGGGTATGAGAATTTAAATAATCGATCTTAAAAAAAATGATAAGTCAGCTAAACTAAGGTACTTTTGTTGTCGGACTGAAATTATATTAACTTCATAAATATTTAATGGATAGATTATTTCTAAAAATATTTATTCCCATCTTTTTCTCGATTCTTATTTCAATAAAAAAAACGATATTTTCTTTAATCCAATTTTTTTCTAATAATTTATAATTTGCTCGTGTATAGACAAAGCATAGATAAACATCCATTTGGATTGTCTTAGAGAATGTTGAATTTATTAAAGAACGACAAAGACGAATAAGACTTAATTTATAGTCAATAACGTGTGAACTCAAACTTCTTATAAATATTATTTTTGTCAAATTATAAATTTTTTTTAGTGGAAATCAAAGCATAAAATTTATAAACTGGTTGCAAATATTAATATATTGAAGTCTATTTATATGGTATATTATATGAATCAAGAGGGACATATAAATCAATTTAATTTAAATGAAAGAGAAATTTAAGCTTTTTTTTTCTTTTATAATTTATTTTGCCTTTTCCTTTTAATTAAAAATTCATTTTTATATATTATAGTGACATCATATTACACAAATCATTCTTTTTACTTTATTAAAAATAATATTATTTCTTGTAATATATATATATATATATATTCAAGATGGTAGTTGTACCAAGTATATTTTATAAAAAAAAAAAAAAGTATTTTAATTTTAATATGGTCCTTATATTTTCAAGAAACTATACTTTTGCCCCTGAATTTTGAGATTTTACATATTCCCCTTAAAAATTTTTTACAAGGCTCACTTTCGTTCTTAATGTTAATTTTTTATTAGTTAATTTAAAATAATTAAATCAATTTTTATTACTTTTTTCATCACTATTAAAATTAATTAAAATTTATATAATTATATTTAATTAATTAACTTGAAATTAAAACGGAGACTAAAAATGAACTCTTAAAATCAGTGAACTAAATAAAAACTAAATGCAAAATGCAAATAATTTTAAACCAAATAAAAAATTAAGTCAAAATACTGATGAAAATAAAAGAATAAAAAAAATAAAAAATAAAAAATAAAAAATAATAAAAAAGACTTGGTCAACGGTGAGTCGTTTTCATTCCAACGTGCAAGGGACGGACAAAGGGAGTTGGCCAAGCGACACGGCCGTCCGCCACTCCTATCCGATCCCTCCTTCCCAATGCTCCAAAAAGCACCAAAGATGTCCTCAGCCCCACAGAACACTATGCCTTTAACGTTTATTATTACGTTTTCCAGTTCAAAGTTTATGCCTACAGCTACTCATTTAACTGCAACTCTCTGTCCTTTTTCTAATCTTCTTCTTCTTCTTGTTCTTGTTTCTTTATATTCCCTCTTCTACTTTGAATTCACCACTGACCCTTTTGAGCATTTCTGTGTATTTCTGTTCTTTGTTGTTCATGAGACTCAATTGAGAGATGAAACAGGTGAAGGAGATCGAAAACAGAACCTTCTCTGAGGTTATCTCTGGAATCATAGCGTCTACGGATGAGTTAGCTTCCATATCCAGGAGTTCTGAAACAGAAAAGGAGATGTTTAATGAATTAGCTCTTGTTTTGGAAAGAATCCCACCAATTTTCAGTGATTTGAGGGAGTATGACAAGATCATGGACACCCCATCAATCAGAAAAGCTGTTGGATCCCTTGAGAAGGAGATAATGCGCGCCAAGTGTTTGATAAATGTCCCCAACCAGAAGGTGAAACATGTTGAGTCTATTGCCCATGATCTTGGCCGGTCCTTGGGCCTTGTCCTGTTTGCTACTGCTGAGGTCTCTACGCAATTCAAAGCAAAGATTGGGGAGTTGCACAAGGAACTGATGAACATGAAGTTTAGTGAGAATTGCAGTCCTACTTCAACTTCAACTTCGAGTCGAACCACAGAGTTCGTATGTGATTTGAGAGTGGAAGAGATTGAAGAACAACAAATTAGCACTAAAGTTTGTGACATTGCACATCATCTCAAGTATGGAAATGATGATGAATTCAAGCTTGCAGTTGTGGGGTTGAAAGAGTTGATACATAGTAAAAATGTTGATGATGAATGGCTCAACGAAGAGGGAATCGTTTCGATTTTGCTGAATCGTATGGATTCTAGCAAATCAGCGAATCAATCTATAATCATTCAAGTACTTAGGTACCTTGTTTGGAACAGTCCTGCAAGCAAGGTAGAACACCACAAGACTATTGCATCTGATTTGAATCCATTATTTTCAGTCCACTGAACCACAATAATTTGCAGGGATTGATATCAAATGTGGGAGCCTTGTCAACATTGGTCAAGTCTTTGGCTGGGGACGAGGAGGAGAGGAGGGAAGCTGTGGGGCTGTTGCTGGAACTCAGTGATCTTGTTAATGTAAGGCGCCGGCTTGGCAGAGTTCAGGGTTGTATTGTTATGTTGGTTGCCATTCTGAATGGGGACGATCAGATTGCTTCCTGTAATGCAAGGAAATTGTTGAATGTATTGTCAGTGAACACCCAGAATGTGCTCCACATGGCAGAAGCTGGCTATTTTAAGCCAATGGTACAGCATTTGAAAGAAGGTAAAATGAAGCAAAAACTCCAACTAGTATGTATTTTTCTTATTTTTTCAGAACATACTTTGAGAACTAGACTAGACACCCGGGAGCAATTATAGTAGCTCGGTTAAGAAGAACTAATGCCTTATCTTAATATCATGTCTATCATTTAGTGGGGTTCAATACAATAATCATATCGTTGCAAAGTTAAAAGCGTCTTGCTTGACAGGGCGACCAACGTCCCACATAGACTAGATAAGGGGAAGATCGTAAATGTA